ACAACAGTGCCAACTGCATGCTGGATAAGATTTTAGACTGCCAGTTTTGCCCAGGAAACATTTGTGTGTGGTTCATTTTTGAACAGCACTCATTCCCTTGATGTCTACAATAACAACCTTCTTGCAGATGTGCACATATGTGGCCAAGGGAACAACTCCATGTTTTCTAAAAGTCCTAGAGAACAAAGTATTGGGTGCCTCACCTCTTTGCCTTTGTGCTCCTTGTTTTGGCAAATTTCTGGAAGATGGCAGTTCTGGACAAAAGGAAGGCCATGGTTGACTTCTTCAGGCTGACTCATGTCTGAGACTATCAAAGGGTGATACAGATAAGAACCTCTGCCCCAGAGAATTTAGCTACAGATCATCAGGCACAACTTTAAAGAAATGCTAGTACCTGGCCCCATACACAGAGATTCTGATTTGATTACTTTGGGGAGAAGCTTTGCCATTGGTAGTTTTAAAGAGCCATAGGTAATTCTAATAGGTAGACAGGATTGAGAACTACTGAAATTTTTATGTCTTTGATAATAAATTCAATTCTATTAAATAGATCAGTTTTAACCTACATGTAAAAAAAAAAGAAAAAAGAAAAACCCTGACTATTAAATGTCATGGCAGATTCCCCCAGATGGAACAACTTCTCAATATTTGCCTTTTCCAACCACTAGATAATATCACAAATTTTACTTCTAGAGTGTAATTCTTTTTTTKGGGGGRGGCAGGAATTACCTGGAATCGAACTCAGAGGCACTCCACCACTGGGCCATATCCCCATCCCTATTTTGTATTTTATTTAGAGACAGGGTCTCACTAAGTTGCTTAGTGCCTCACTTTTGCTGAGGCTGGCTTTGAACTAGCAATCCTCCTACCTCAGCCTCCTGAGCGTTTGGGATTACAGGCATGYGCCAGGCACTACAGTGTAATTCTTTATTCTTGCTATTTTGTTTCATATCAAATGTAAATTACTCTATGTAGACCAGTCTATTAGCTGATTTGTTATTACAACCTGCATATAATTGATCTTGTCAGATCATTATTTGAGAAAGGTTATGGGGAATGGAAAGAATTATTGAGGCTTTCCCATATTGAGGAATATAATGAGAAATATGAAGGTACAAGAACAGTCTACCAATCTTTTGTAAACTTGTCCTAGGTCCCAATAATACCAGGGCCTATTGAACTGTAGTTCTACCCTCAAGAGCCTTGGTGAACATCCTGTTAAATCTTTCAAGGAAAACTAGAAAAGTAATTCAAAAAGTGCAGTCCTGTTTGAATGCCAAAGGGACTCAGGAGCCAATTGAAAGAGCTCCCAATGGCCAAATGTGGAACATGTCTATATTGTAATGTAGTGGCACCCCTCCTCCACTGGGTTTCTCCAGAAATCTTCACCATGGCTGATTTTAGGACTGTCAACAAGAGTCTGTACAAAAGAATTCAATGTAGATAAATTTCCTATTTTCGTGTTGCCCTATTCTACTTGGCCACTGGCCGAGAAGATACCAGCACTCCAGGTGCTGGACACCCCTTACTAGTTTTTCACAAACATTTATCCAGTATAGTTGTTTGTAAAAATGTGTAAACAAGGCCTCTGACCTTGAGCTGGAGCTTTACAGAGGTGTCTACATTTCTAAGATAGGAGAAGTTACCAATTGGGTTCCCTGGTAACAGCTGGCAGGGGGAGGAAAGAAAGGGGAGAAGAAGCTCTCCCCTTCTCAGATATTGTCTTTGAAGGGTTAACTTGCCCAGAACAGTGAAAGAAAAAGCTGCTTTTGTGTGAACTTCTGCAGACTGTGAACTTCTGAGCCCCTCCTCTTACGTGCAGTGTATAAAATTCTGAAACTACCTAAACTCGGGGTTCAGGGGATTGATTGATTACAGCAAAAGCTGTGCCCTCTGAACCTGCTGCAGCCAAATAAAACTGTTTCCTGTTATCTTTGGTGCCTTGCCTCGTCTGTCCCTTACAACAGTAAAACATACAGTAATGGGATTGTAACCCAAAGTGCAAAATAAGTATCTATGTGTCTATGAGTCCTTATTAATACAAATGAATGTTCAAATAAATAAGTAAATAAATGAGGCAAAATAGACAAATCTCTCATTTAGAAGAATTCCAAATAATTTATGTAGATATTCTTTATTCTTTAAGGGCAAACTGCACACAGTGACTTTTTTTTTTCTTCAAAGAGTATAATATGAAAAGGGAGGGAGGGAGGGAGGGAGGGAGAGAGAGAGAGAGAGAGAGAGAGAGAGAGACTTTGCAGTGTAGATACTTGGCAAATGTCACCTCTGTCAGGTTATCAGGGTTAATATTAGCAGTCATTACTCAGGGCGACAGTATGTACCCTTGATATGATGTTTGGGAATAATACTTCACCTCTGTGGTCTTCCCTCCAGGGTTCTATATCTCCAGTCTAGCAATGAGAAAAAAATAAATAAAATCAGGTATCTCAAATTGAAGCACATTGTATAAAATATATTCTAGTACTACTCAAAATAGTCTGAGCCTGAGAAGATATGGCCACTAATGTAATGTGGTGTCCTGAAAAGCACTTGGAATAGAAAAAAACACTGGCTAAAAAATATCTTAAGAAATTTTTTTTTTGGTTTTGTTTGTTTTTTGAGAGGCTGGGGATTAAACCCAGAGTCTTACACATACTAGGCAAGCACTCTACTACTGAGCCATACCCCAGCCTTAGAAATTCCCTTTAAAGTGTCTAAAGAAATATGAATAATGTATCTACTTTATGTTAATAATAACATTTCAGTATCTGTTTAATGGTTGTGACAAATATACCATAATCATATAAAATTCAGCAATTCTTTGTGTATCCAAACTTTAGTCAGATTTCTGAATTTTCTTCTAGGTTCATCTGGGTAATTGCTCCAAAAATCCAATTTTAGCAATCCTTGCTAAATCAGTGTAGCAAGAATCCCAACCCTTGACATTTGATCACCCTCTGTATCTGATCAAGTCTCTCATCTTCTACTATCCCCCACCCGATGACTGATCACTCTGCCTATTTTCAGAAAAAGCCTGTTAGATTGGTTTAGTTAGAATCCCCTTTACCCCTATTATTTCCTCTTAGTAATTTTCCATTCACTGACCCCTCTCCCTGCTCTTAAGCTATAAATTCCCACTTGTGCATGCTGTATTTGGAGTTGGTCCCAGTGTCTCTCTCCCACAGTAAAACTCTATTGCAGGGATCCTGTAGCTATCACAATGATCCTTAATGAAATCTTCCTCAATGGGCTTTAACAAGTATCCTTGCATAATGCTTTCTTTAACAGATGGTAAAAGTGGAGGAAACTGAGTGAGTAGTACATGATAATTTTCAGTACTTTCTTCATGTATTCTGAAAATCTAAAAGTGTCCAAAAATATAAAGTTTATTTTTAAAATAAAGGTAAAGAAATGGAGGAAGGAAGGAAGGAAGGAAGGAAGGAAGGAAGGAAGGAAGGAAGGAAGGGAGGGAGGGAGGGAGGGAGGGAGGGAGAGAGGGAGGGAGGGGAGAGGAGACAAGAAATGAGGATCAGCAGTTGCTGGGATCTTTCTTCTGAAAAATTAAAATTCCCAGGTGCCAACCAAGATCTCCTGAATCAGAAACTCTGAGGATGTAGCAGCAATCTGTGATTCAAATTCTGTGATTGAGAACCACTTAAGAGGCAGCTGGCCAAGAGTTTTGCTTCAAGGAGCTTCTTATTTTAGATGAAGTCATATTACTTTTTCTACAGTGCTCAGGAGTGAAAAATTAGGTCAGTCCTTTCTGTAACTTCTGACCATAAAATCGTCACCTTTCAAGAGAAATTACATATATGCCTGCTTCTTCACATGTCATTAGTATTTGATCTCCAGGGCCTTCTGTATGTGCTTATCTTCCAATGTCTCCAGCACATAGATCTTCACTTCTGTGCCCCCAAGCATACAATCAGGTACCACCTTGCATGTTTCCAGTGGCTATGAATCAAGGCAGAGTAAGAGTTCTCTGCAGAGACAGTACCTCACCTGCCAGATAATGATCTTAGGCCAACTGTTTCATCCCTGTGTACCTGTTATATGTGTTTTTCTCTGTTTTTTTKGGGGGGTTGATAATCCAAAAATTTCTTCTGAAATTGGGCATGGAAGCACTTGCCTGAATCCTAGTTACTTGGGTGGCTGAGGTAGGAGGACCTCAAATTCTAGGACAGCCTGAGCAACTTAGCAAGACCCTGTCTCAAAAATACAATAAAAATGGGCTGGGGTGTAGCTCAGTGCTTAAGCACACTTGGGTTCAATTCCCAGGAAAACACACACACACACACACACACACACACACACACACAAAGTCAAAATAATATCTTCTTCTTCATGAGACTTTCTGACAATGCAGAGTTAAGATACATATGGTGTTAAGATTAGTATTCAGCACTCGGTAAGAACTCAATAAATGATCTGGTGTTATTGTTAGTGGTATGTGTTGCCTCTTAAATATTGCTTATCTTCCCGAAGGAGCAGAGTTTTGTCTACAAAATAATATTTCAATAATAATTGCACAAACTGAATTGCACATACTTTTCCATGTATGATCGCTCTGTCACACACATACAGGTCTTCTCAGACACCTTGATTTTGAGTTGTGGTGGGAATTATTGAATGTTGTTTATGCAATGCTTTTATGATAAAGATAGAAATTTGTAGAATATATAAAACTGGTAGTGAATTAACCTTCACTTCAGAAAGCTCTAGTATTTATAGTCGGGCTATTATAAAAAAAATAATACCACTTTAATTTCTGTTGAAAGGATTTTTAATTCTGGAGATTCTTAGCAGACTTTCTGTTGGTCTAAGAGACAAGATGAGTCAGAAAAGAAATGTGCACCCCAGGGACTGTTCTAGTAGCAGGTGGATAAGTGAATATGTTTGGATAACATGCTTCAATGTTGTTTATTTGCTGTTTGCCAAGGTTGAATAGAAATGAAACTATTTACACACAGATGCCTTAGGTGTTTTGGTTTATTTTCCAGATGGGAATTAACGTGGTGGACTCCGCAGTGTCAGGATTAGGTGGCTGCCCTTATGCAAAAGGTGCTTCCGGGAATGTAGCCACTGAGGATTTGATATATATGCTTAATGGCCTGGGGCTCAATACAGTAAGTTGCTTTAACAATATTTCAATACTCACGTGTTACTTCCAGTTCCAAATTGAAATGCTTCTCAGATTTGGGAAGCAATGTTGAGGTCAAAGTTTTACTACATATTTGTTATTTGCTAAAATGCACAGTGGGAAAATATAATAGAGTTCTTTTCTTTTTTTCCCCAGCAGTTTCATAAAATAACTATCGCTATAGCCCAATCATCAATAGTGCTACTGTTTCACATTTTATAGTATTTTATAAACTCCAAAGTAGTTTTCCATGTATGATCTGATATGACTTTACACACTTTGTGAGAGCCTGTGTCTTTTACTGTTATGATTGTTGAATTTTGCAGTTTCGTGTTTTGTACGGATACTGTCCTTGGAGGAAACTGAGATCTAGATGGTCTCACAGTGACAACGAGGGCTTCTGAAAAAAAAGCCAGTGAGGGTCAAAAGACCAAATGATCAGTAAGGGAATGGAGCTTGGAAATATTTAGCATGTGAGACATTGATGGCAAGAATGGTCCCTTTCCAAGTAGCACCTGAAAAGGCACATGCTGTGTGGTAATGTCCACCAAAATCGATGCCTTTTTTTGCCACATACTTGATAACAATCTGTAAGTCTATAAGACAGTCTTTAAAAAGAAAGAATATAAAAGGAAAAAAAAATCTATGCACAGTTGAATACAAATCCAAACTGCTTTCTGAGACGGAAAGCATGGACTGTATTATTAAATAGATTCCCCCCACCCCCCGCCTGTCTTCTTTTTCACCCTAATTACATGAATGTTCCTGCAGCACCAAACTTGCTTATTGTCCACATTCTGCTTCTCACCTCCACTCCTAAGATTTACCACTCCTTGGAATAGCCTTATGACACATACTCCATTTCAGCTGGAAAGGGAGTTACCTTCATCCTGAAAGTATTCTCCCAGCATCTCCATGTCTGTCTCCTAGGCCAAGAGATGAATCTCCTCTCCTTAGTCCTTCCTTGCTACCCTCTGTATCTTCACCTCGGAACATACCACATAAGGCTGTATCATGACTCTGCTTACCTGTTCAACATCCTGCACAGGCAGATAGCAATTATTGTAGCTTTTTCATACTCAATGCCTGTGACATTTAAAAAAAAGTCCAAAAAAACTATCTATTGAGATTTTGCTTGACACCAAATACCAACAGCTGTTTTCTAAAAACACCAAAAGCTATTGCTTATGTTCTGTGGTTAGGAATAAGTACAATTTCATTTACTAAGCAGCTTAATCATTTCTATCAGAATCTTCTATGACAGAAGCTCTAGAGAAATTGATCCTGAATCAAACTCAGTGATGCTTAGTATGTGTCAGGTCCTGTTATATAACTGTGGGGTCCAAATGCAAATAAGTTGCTCTGGTTCTAAGAATTTTAAGAAGGATGATAGCATTGAATGGTAGCCACTGTTTAACTGTGGTCCAATCTCATAAAGCAAGTCTCTCTGTAGAATCTAATCTCACCATGAGTCACAGGCTCAATCATTTGCCAAGCACCACTAGTTTGACTTTTAAGTTTGGCTGTTTATACCTTCCTCACCATGACTACATGTGGGTAGGCTCTTATTTCTTTCCTGAATAGTGATTTCCTACATTGATGATGGCTTCTGACTTGACTTGGAATTTATCCTCCATGTTGCCATCAGAACATTTTATCTTAAAATACAAGTATGAATATGCCACGGTGTACCTTGAACACCCATCAGTGGATTTTTATTTCCTCAAAAACCAAGACTGTGCTCTATCATATAATCCAGCCTATTTATACTTTTTTTTTCAGCTCCAAAGTCATGTTTTAGCTTTTCTCAATAAGCATCATGATAAACTTGTCCACTGTCCTCCATATGTACCCTGCTATTTTTTAGATATCTTATGTTGCTTTTCTCTCTGCCTGTAATGTCCCACACATCCTCCTTCCTCTCAAAGACTCATTCTCTCCATATAAAACCCAAGTCAGGATTTACCCCTCCTAGCACCCTTCCCTGACATATTTTCTCCATTCCTTTTCCTCATGAGTTGGTTGCTCCACACTTCTGTCTTCATAAGCACCTGAGCATATCTCCATGGCTCAAACTATAGTACACATTTTTCTGTTTATGGTTCTGTATCAGGGAGCAGAAGTTCCCTAAAGACAGAAACCACATTCCATGTCAGATTCTGAAAGTCCCAGAACAAATCATAGTGCATGACACATGTTTAGGCACCTGATAAATGATTTAAGAATAAATGCTGTGTTGTTTCATGAGGATATCTATGAATCAAATAAAATGGTAGAGAAGGACCAAGATGAAATTCTTCTTTGGAATGACATCAATGAATTCCATATTTAATAGTTATAAATGGAATCCTTAGAAAGCAAATAGGAACATTAATGACCAAAATCTTCCTATGAACCCTGGTGGAATATCATTCAGAAATGAAAGACACATGAAGATAGTTTTACAAAATTTAAATATTTCTGGATTAACCTAAAATGTGCCTAATGAATACTGTCTGAAGTCATTACTATGACAAAACCAAATTTCTCATACCAAAGCAAATTCACTCCTGAAAACAACTACCCTGAAAACAGCTCTACAATAAAAGAAAAATAATGACAGTCACTTACATGTGTTATTTTACAAACTGTTTTTCTTGATAATTCTGGAAAAAGAGAAGTAATCTACAAAGAAAACGGTGCTTTAAATATTTCAGAGAGAAGTGTTTAAAAAGTCTCCATTTTCTAAAATGATGATCATTATTATGAAAACCCTTATGAATATTTACACTTGTTGTTTTAGAAAATTCAGACTTCCATAAAGATTAAATCTACTCCTTAAGAGCAAGGAAGACTGGACATGTTTAATTGTAAGCCCTCACTGTGTCTAGTCCATGTTAAGGGAGGACACAAAAGCTTACGAAATGCTACACAAGGACCAGTGTGTGGCTGAGCCACTTAATGCTGTGACCCTCCCTAGGACAGAAGAGTTCTGGGTGCAGACTTTGATGGTGACCTTTTGCTTCTTCAAGGCCCAGAGATAAGGAGTATGCCCTGAACTTGGACTTCATACCCAACAGTGTCTGTCATCCAGGGATTTACCCAAGCTTTTGCTGATCCTTTTTATATTTTCAGAGAATTCACACTCTCAGGCAAAGAAGTTCCAGATGTGTACTAAATACTTCCTCATTTTATCTAACTTACAACTAACCCCTTTACCATCATATGGGTAATAATGAATTAAAAAGCTACATTCATCTTTCATGTAATCCAAATGGCTCTATCAAATTTGTTTCTTGTATATTAAAGATATTATTTTTTTTCCAAATTCAAATCTCATATACAACTTTCTCCAAGACATTATCATTTTTATTTCTATTACTGATATTTTGTGAACTCTTTTCTAATTCCATTATTGTCCTTCCTATAAATCTGATATTCTCCTGAATTACACTAAGTTATTCAGGCATGCCTAGCCTATATTATTATATGAGAGTAAGATTCTATGTCTCAATAACGGAGAATAACCTTAAATATTGATTACATGATTCATGAAAACAAATGTTGCCCCAAGTCAATAAAATAATCAATACAGTGTTTATAAATTTTAAATACTTATTTGATTACTAATAAAATTTAAAGGGATCTGTTTTGTCTTTTTTATTTCTAATGCTCCATTCCCTCTGCTGTCTCTTCTTTTCCTCACTAGGGTGTGGATCTCTACAAAATAATGGAAGCTGGTGACTTTATATGCAAAGCTGTGCATAAAAATACAAACTCTAAAGTAGCACAAGCCTCCTTCAGTGCTTGACAACAGTGGATTTGTGACTTAAGATCAAGAAGGTCCATTTCAGCAGCATACATTCATCTGAAAATCATTAGTGCCAACTCATTTGGAAATGTAATAGGCAAAGGTGGAGAAAGAGGAATAACTTTTAAAAAACATGATTACTGAATAAACTATGACATCAATAGCAAGCAATACCAGTCATCAGGAAAATCATAATTGGAGGATGAGTAATGAGACTTGTAGACATCCTTTTGAACTTGGAGGAAAAAATGTCTCATCTTTTGCTCTTGTAGAGATGACCTTTTAACTTAGTAGACGTGAATATTGACCTCAGATTTCCCTAAGTGTCACGTACTGTGTTAATACTTAATCATGCTAGCTTAGCATAGTATACACATTGTCAGTAGTTTATGAGCTCCCGCATAGTGTGCAGAGTGTGTGGCCTTGTTATTATGTGTTATGCCTCTGGATCTCAACTTTCCATTTGCCAAGTCAGTTAAGTTATGGATAAAGAGCCAAATCTCCATCTGACCCTGCATAATTTTAGCAATAGAACTTTTATATTTCAAGTAAGGATAACATCTGTTAACTATTTCAGTGACTTTATCTGGTTCCAAGAGACTGTGGTCAATGGCAAGACGCCATATCCTGGAAATGCATTATAGCCACCCATGTTTGTTACAAGCATCCAGTTTACCATACTTTACCTTTCATCAGCTATGGAAAAAAAGCAAAAAAAAAAAAAAAAAAAAAAAAAGCATGGTGTTACTTAACTATTGAGAAATCATAAAGTATGACTTTTGTTAGATGTTTAAGTTTTCAGTAATGAGAACACAAAGATGCAGGTACCATAATCCAACTCCTTAATTTCAGTTCACTTCCAAATTGCCCAAGGAAATATCACTGAGATCCCAAGGATATTAAGATGATTTTTAGTTCATGAAATATATTGGTTTATGTTAATTCAGGGTACCTTGACTCTATCAGATCATTTTTTGGTTCACCTTTTAAAATGGTTATTTTAAAGTTGAAATGGGAAAAATTTTGTCTTTTGTACTAAACAACATTGCCAGAGAGACAAATTTAGTATATTAAAGACTAAGAGAAAGGGAAGCAGGGAACGTTATTTAGAAAAACATTGCTATAACCTATGCAAATCATACAGGGATGGTGTTATTACATGTGGATCTGGAATGTCAGTTCTATTACTTATATAGACTTTCCCAATAATACTGGTGATCTTATCTTTGAATAAATTTTAATATAAATTGAAATATGAAAGTGAGCTTTATGGACTTTTTGGAATATATTCATTAAAACCATTGAAATAAAAATAGATTTAAGAAAATAATTATGGATTGCAACTAAGTCATCTTTAAAGATACAGGGTAAGAAAAGTATCAGAAAGTCAGCATTGATAATTGACAAAACCAAACTAAATTCCTATGGAAGAGGCCAACCTACCAGCTCGTGACACTGTTTTGGAGTAGGGGCTGTAACAGCACACTCGTTTTGCAGAGTACTGAAAGCAGTTCTCTGTTTGGGGGTTCAGGTAGGGTGTGAGGATAGTGTGAGTGGCATGCAAAATGACAACTGGTTATGGATCTGCTTCAGTTATATCTCCCTTGTGCATCTCTCTCCATGAAGTATGTACCCTTGCACACTAAGGGAGCAAAAAGGTACCTTTACCAAGTGTGCACAGCAAGGAGACTGGCTTTTCCTCTCTTTTTCAAAGCTGCCGAGTTCTTAGTTTTGAGATATTTGAAAAAGTACCTTTTGATACAAACTGCATATAGAAACTGAGACAGGGAAATGTTGCTGTTTTGAACTAAAATCATGGACTGTTCAAGAAACAGAGCAAATAGAAATTCTATGTTCAGTCTAGCACACAGTTACACAGCACTCATATCAGCCTGCAGATTCATTTTCGTGACTATCTGATGCTACCTAATCATATTTGCAACATGAAAGTTTATGTTTTAGAAACTGGTATCCCTTTCTTTACCCCAAATTCTTTGCTAGCTTAATGATATTTTTTTTCAGGTTTTGGAAGAAAACTCAGATAATCATATAAAGCTGTCTGAAACCCACAGACAGAATCCACCCAAAGTTATGTCTCAGCTAACCAGAAATCCTTGGAATCATTGCAAGACCCACCAAAATAACTCACCTGCTCATATATCAATACCATGTTTAGTTTCGGGGAAAGGATTTAAGAATAAAAATGCAATTATAGCTTTTGTTGAAATGCAAATCAAAATAATATTTTCTAAAATCTATGCCTAAGTCAAGAAAATATTCATTCTATGTATTAGAACCTGTAATGCATTTTTATCATGTGTGTGTTAATGACCTATTATAGACAAACATTTTAAGACTACATTCTCTGAAAAATAACAATTTTAGAATCCTGCATTCCTAAAATTCACAAAGGAAATGAATGAAATCTGGCTATGACTTTTTGGGGAAATTCAGATGCCATTGTGATGTTATTAATTATGATCACTACAACATTTAATAAATGTCCTTTTAACTGTACTTATATGGTTATTAATTTCTATATATGTACATTCTGTGTCTTCTAAGTGATTAACTCCAAATATTAGTCATAGATTATTTAGCACAGAGAAAATAAGTCACAGATATCATCTTTGTCACAATTGTAATGAAGAAATAAAACTAAGGACTGGGAACCAGTCAGAAATCTGAATTGAAGAAATATACAGGAAAAGGACTGCTATATATACCAATGAGCATTTTGCTTTTGTGGATTGAAGATATGGGTTTTGTACTTGTATGAGGCAGTCCCAAGAGTTAAAAGAATAGTTTTAGTGATATAAAGATAGGGAGGAAGGGACTGGAAAGTAAGAGAGACAGAGATGGGGGAATGTAGGCATGGAGTGAGGGAAGGAGAATGGGAGAATTAGAGACAAAGGGGCAGAGGTGAGAAATCTCTTCCTTACACTTGAATGGCTGAACAGAAGGACGGATTCTGCTGTGATAAGGTGCACCAGTAACAGAAAACTCACTAGGCTTAAGCACAATAAAACTTCTTTTATGTGCCAAATATTCAGTAAAAAAAAAAAAAAAAAAAAAAAAAAAGATTTTCCACCACTGTTTAACTCAATGGCTCAATCGTGTTACAAGTCAACATTTTCTCTCCATTTTCCTTCTTGTCTAACCTCAAGGTATGGGGTCACCTTTAGATCCTTGCTCCTCATGGGTGCAAGGCTGTGGGCACTCTCAGGCTTCACATTCTACTGCTCAGCAGCTGTAGGGCTTTTGTCTTCTCCAGGGTCCTTTTTAATCAAGGAAGTTTGTCCTCCACCCCTTTTCAAACTCCACCTCAGAGTCCAGTGAGTAGGACATCATTACACACCCCATTCCCACTGGAATAGACCCACTGTATAGACCAAATGGAATCACTGGTGATCTGGGAAGAAAACCTCAGGGAACAACTCCAAGGAAGGATCTTATTTCTAACCACTCCGAGATGGGAGGAAGGGATGGAAACTGGAACTTTTTCTTTTTTTTTTTATTTGAAATAAATATGTTTTAAGAGGAATGGAGTCAATGCTGCTAATTGGTCTCTATTTTTCCCCCAATGAGGTAGGAAGTGAGATCTTCAGGCATTAGAGAGGGGGGTGGAGTGAGGACTCAGAAGAATAGTAAAATCTGAAGTCCATCATTTGGGGGATAGGTAGTAACATAGCAGAGCACCATTAGAAGTTAACTTACTCTATAAAAGTTTTCCAGTGGCTGTTCTGTACTAAATCTAAGTACACTGATCTGACCTTAAGCCACCTTTGCCACCCAGCCTGGGACACATTCCCACCTGCTTCAAATACTTTTTACTTTTTCTCCCCATGTTCTACCTCTCTGGCTGCTTCTCTCTACATTTTTTAAAAATTGGCTGTCTCCTTTTTGCTCATGCTACAGACTCACAAATACACAAATACTCATAAATACATTTTCACTATTCAACATTTGGTCCAGGCCCAGAAGGATCATCATCCTGGGATATTTTAAGAATTTCAGGGTCTTGAGCTCCACCTCAGACCTATTGCATTCGCATCTGCATTTTATCCATTTTATCAGTGTCCTCATAGGACTCATGGGCATGTTAAGTTTGAAAAGTATTTGCCTGCTTGTCACCTCCTTTTGGTGTCTAACAGGCACTGGAAGCTTTGTATTTTCAAAATATGTTCTATCACTTCTTTCCTCTTGCATTATACTCTAGCCCATATCTTTTCTCTGTTTCTCCAATGAGGCTGACTCACATCCATCTCAGGATACTCTAATGCCTCTGCCTCTAATGCTTTTTCCTGAGCAAAACTGACTCCTTGTCACTCAATTCTGAGCATAAATGTCCCCTCCTTAATGGGTCTTCCTGGACAACCCAGTCTAAAGTAAATCCTCAGTTACTTTCTCTTACTTCAACTTATTTAATATTTATTATAGGTCTGTGTTGTAGCTTGAAAATTCACATATCTAGTGAATTTAATCACCATTCTAATAGTTATTTTTTTCCTGTAACAGAATAGATAGTTCATATCTTGTCCACTCTGACTTCCTTAGTGCCCAGAATATAGTGCTAGGGCTATAGCGGAATATAGGTTCCACTTCTGTCAATAATTTTTAAATTAAAAAAAGAAGAGAAGAAAAATGGGTTTAATTCACATTTGGTAATTTAAGGGAGGAGATCATCTCATCAGAGCTGTTTCGGGGTTATGTACGTATTTTTAAATTCCCTGAGCCCTTAATGGTTTTTCTGAATTTATTTGTTCCAGTTTGGTAGAAAATGCTTACCGCAAGTCCTTAAGACATAAGATAAGTGATTTAATTAGGGAATTAATACATATGTACACCAACRAGGTTGTTAAAAAATGTTTAAGAAATCAAAATTGTAAGGGAAACAAATGTGTTGCTAAGCAGGAATCAAACCAAAGTGAAACTTCTGGAATTGATAAGAATAAATCAATTTCATTAACAACATAAACTTTCCTGAAGTGGAGAAGTAATAATAGGTATACAGAGCCATTACGCAGTTTTACTTTGGGCATATAGATGTGCATGTAATTCCTTTCTGTCTCACTGACTCTCTCTTATACACACACACACACACATACATGATACACTATTCTAGTTTCAGCTGATAAAACTCAGTTTCCTTATCACATTCTCTGTAATCTATTTTCTATTCAARAAAAGAGAAATGCATTTTTTATTCAAATACCCACTATTTGAATAAACAAGTGAACTGTTATACTAGCTATCATCTTATGATTAAGATATGTAAAAATTTCACAATGATTTGATATTCAGGCCTTATTATTCTCATATTCCTCCAATAGGTTCCATTTACAGATATTTCAGAATCAAATTTTAAATATTGGTTTTACCTGTCTTACCCTCTCACACACAAAYCCCTCAATTCTCTGTATCTGATACACAAAATAATTTACTCTCTGTGGTCTCATTCCAGGCTACACATTAGATTAATCACTGCAGGATGGGAAAGGGGGAGTTAACAATACTAATGTCTGAATTTCAGCTCCAGTGATTCTGATTTAATTGGTCTGCAGTTAGGCTTCATGTATTACCATTAAATA